TCTGAGTCATACAAGATGGTCTGTATTAGAAAGACAAGTGATGGGAAAGAAAAACGCAGAGGTATTGTTTCATGGATTGAGTCTAAAACAGATACGCAAATCATGCTTATCCTTTTTTCTCAGGCTCTAAGAAACTCTGTATATTCATGAAGATATGTTACATTATCTTTTTTTTTTTAAAAGAAAAAGTGTGGAAGATGGATCAGTCTGTCATGCAAACCTGAGAAACTGAGTTGGATCCCCAGCAACCATATAAAAGCATGGTTATGCCTCCTTGTTCAGTTGTATGTAAGGACCCTGCTTTCCTGTTTGACTGTGTAGAATAAACATATGCTGAGCTTCTGGGTGCTGTGGCTTCTCCATCAGAGAGCCCAGAGCTCCCCATTCCAGCTTTTCAGTGTTCACGTGTCTTAGTCACTGTTCTATTCCTGTAAGAGACACCCCGGCCAAGGCAGCTCTTAGGAAAGAAAGCATTTGATGGGGAGCTTGCTTACAGTTTCAGAGTCTTAGTCCACGGCAGGGAACATGGCGGCACACGTGGTGCTGGACCCGTAGCTGAGAGCTACATCCTGGTGTGCAGACAGGAAGAGCGGACACTGCCTGGCTTGGGCTTTTGAAATCTCAACGTCACCAGTGATGACACACTTCCTCCAACAAAGCCACACCCACTCCATCAAAGCCACACCTCCTAATCCTCCTTTCATATTGCCAATCCCTGGTGACTAAGCTTTCAACTACAGGAGCCCATGGGGACCATTCTTATGCAAATCACCACACCATATGTCTGTCATTTCTTCCTCTGGTTGCCCATAGTCAGGCTTTCAAGACCTAAGCTGTGCCAAGGACATGACACTCATGGATCTCTGAAGACTTTCCACAGCAAATTATTTGCTGTATCTGGCTTCCCTTACAGCACACCACCCAGCAGGCCCCTTCTGATTGTGGAGGTATCATATTCTCCCCCCTGGGTGTATTATTCTAACCTGTTATCAATGGGCCTCAACCCTACTGGTTCCGAGTAAGGCCCTGAACAGAAGGCTGCATCACTGGTCCATCCTGTGGTGCCGGATGCTCTGCCACACGGGTCACATGCAGCAGTGGGTCAATGGAGCTTAAAGGTCTGTGAAGATGAGATGCTGTTTACAGCCTTGGGTGTATCTGGAGTTTATAATCCTGGAGCAATACCTATCATTCCTTTTTAAATCACTGTTTTCTAAAGAAGTACATCTTGGGGGCTGGAAAGATGGCTCAGCAGTTAAGAGCACTCGTTTTTGCCGAGGACCTGGGTTTGATTCTCGGCACCCACATGGTGGCTCACAACCCTCTGTAACTCCAGTTACAGGGATCTGACATTGTCTTCTGAACTCTGAGGGTACCAAACACATACGTGATACTCAAACATACATGTGAGCAAATGAACTCATTAATATAAAATAAGTACATTAAATTTTTTAAAAAAGTACTAGATTGTGTCTTTTTACTACTACGCCTTGGTAGGGACTGCATATTGAACTATAAGCCACCAAGATACCACGGAACTTAAGCTGCCCATCATCCAATGAAAGTGGCACGTCCAAGAATGTCCTAAGGAGGCCCTGAGGCATGAGTAGGTTATATGGAGCAAGAGATACTCATGGTACCTTGGCACCTCTCTGCATCCCCACACCAGAGGCGCTGAGCTGGCTGTGTTCACATGACAAAGGGAAGCTGTAGGCCTGGTTTACATGTTTCTGCATGGTGTGCAGACACTGCCCCCTAGTGAACAGCATAGGTATGGCATCCTCCCTTGCAGACATGGATTGCACTTGGCTGAGAGGGTAAATGGTCAGATGTCTGACTGAGCAGCAATTCACAGCCATGCTCAATGACTTAGCTAAGTAATCAGGCTCATGGAAGGAAATCTGGAAAAGTTAGGGAAATGGCCTACTTTGGACAAAAAAAAAAAGCAGGCATTTGTGTCCCAAGCTCACTAAAGGAACACCTTAGCTGAGGACATCAGTGAAGTGGATAGGAAAACCTATTCTGTGTGGATTCTAGGCAGCCTCTTTCTCTGGCCCCCTCTCATTGACCAGTGGGTTCAAGGGCAATGGGTGGTGGGTATGTGTTGGCTAAAGACCATGGAATTGTACTCACCAAGGTCAGCCTGGCTATATTCACTGTTGACTCCGAGCAGCAGAGATGAACACAGAGCACCTGATAAGGTACCATTCCCTGGGTTAACCAGTCAGTGACCAGCAGGTTGGTTACACTGGCAGGGGCAGTGTTTTGTCCCTGCAGTAGACCCTTACTCTAGGTATAGGTTCATCTCTGCATGACCGAGATCCACAACTCCAGGGATCAGCGAGGAAACGTGAATGGTACCACTATTACTCTTAGGGACTCACTGGTAAAACTGACTTCTTATCCTTAGAATGATGTGCTCTGGTAGTTTAACAATTCCACCGTGGAACAAGAACCACTCTACCAAACTGCCAGTTCAGAATGCTTCAGCCATCTTGGGATCCCTGTATCTTTGAGTCACTGGCATAGGAAGGAATTTTGGTTCCAAGGAGAGACAACAGCAGATGACCAGAGCACGTCTGGAACACAAGGGACACCTTAGACCACTTGGTAATACCAGGCTGTGTGGTTCAGGTTGGGGGCAGGGCACAGCACACGGTACTACAAATGGCAGAGCCTTCAGGAAGGAAGGGATGGGTTTACCCTACTGGGTACAACCAGCCAAATACTTCCTGTGTGCAAAAGAGATATAGGATGGGCACTGGAAGGATGAAGGTGACTGTGAGACACGCTAGGACCACGTGACCAGCTACAGAAAGGAGGACTGCCATCAATGAGTACTTCCTGCTTTGTTATGAATGTGTGTGTGTGTGTGCGCGCATTAAGCCACATTTCTGCTTCCTTTCCTTTCTCATCCTTTTATGATATAACCTAAGGTGTCAGCATTGACTATGTGAACTTTTACATCATAATGCGCAAGTTACAGGATGCTACAGGTACATCTTCCAAAGATGGCCTCCTCTTCTAGAGGGAGTGTGTTTTTGGCTTCTCTCCAGATACCGGCTGTACCATGGTAGGCAGAGGCTGACTCTGCCATTGTCTTTGTTTGATGACTGGCTACGGCTTAGGGAAATATCTGGTTGATAGCAGATAGAGAAGAATGATTAATATCACGTAATCAGCTTGGTCAGGCTATGACACGTAGTTGTTTGGTCAAATGCTAGTCTAGATGTTGCTGTGAAGGCAACTCGTTGGCTAAAATCAACTAAGTTTTAAAAATGAACTGATTTTTAATCTCCTTTAGAAGATGACTTCAAGAATGTATCTTGCAAATACAGTGGCACTCACATGGTCAGTCCAAAATCTTAAGAACAATCTAGGTTTCCTTGTTAAGAGCCAGAAGGTGGAAGGGAGCAGCATCAAAACTAAACTGGTTTTCAAACACTCAAGGACACAAACATACAGCATGCATATTTAACTTCACAGGGTGGATGCCCTCCTGGTTTTACCAGCAGAGGCCAGTCTCTTGCTACCCAGCCCACGTGTGACAGGCAGCTGAGAATGTCACCTCTGGAGAGGAGTTTGGACCATTGCTGTGGTATTCCTAGGTTCCAGAAGGGGAAGAGTCTGAAGGTTCTTGGAAGCTGAACAACAGGACCTGAAAATTAGGGCTGGGGATGGCCTGAAGGGGGCTGTCTTCACCTCAAACACAGGAGACATAGAGGGTGCTTAGGAATCCTGGCCAATACACTGGAATCCAGAGTCTGATTTCATACAGAAATGTCTTAAAGCAGCTCCAGGATATGGGCAAACCAAGAAGACTGCTAAACTCACTGTGCAAACAACCTTAGCCCAGCAGCAAGGCTAGATCACGCTGGAATATTTTTTTGGATAGTGCGTCTGATAATATGCAATTATAAGGCATCTGACCTTTCAATTTTATTTTACTTCAAACCACGGGCTACTAGAATATTCTTCCTTAGTTTTGTGGCTGTCTTGAATTTCAGCCGGAGAGCACTGATTTATAAAGGTGGAGTCCGATCCTGGCTACTCATCGCCCGGCTACTGGCCATCGACTCAAATCTTTTATAAAATAAGAGAAGAGCTGAAAATATCGTCCATATCCACTAGCAGGTTGGCATCCTCCTTTTTTCCCCCCCAGTTCTTTTTTAAGAAACAAGTCCTTCCCAGATGGCTGAACAGGTTGCAAACTCCACCAGAACGACACAGCCCAGGGACAGGGTGCTGCTCAGACCACAGAGACTGCAGACTTGTTGATTTTTCACTGTCGTATCCTGGCACATGGCAGGAAAGAGCCTTGTTCCCGTAAGATGGGCACATCACAATGAGCCTCTAACAGGAGGGACCACGGCGTATGGACGAGGGAGACGCCCCTTTCGGATTGACACAAAAACTGTAGCGGGATTGTTGGCCCGGGCAGACCCTCGAGGCTTGCCTGCTTCTCCTCTAAGGAGCTGACTTCTTGGTTTGGCCTTTTTCCCTTGTGGGAGCCCACAAAAGCTTCCTAGTGAGACCTGAGCTTGCTTTACACAGCAGGGCTGCATTAGGGGATGACTTGACCATGTGTGTGGTGACCAGGTGTTTGGGAAGGTCTGAGCTTGGCTGAGCTGGACCTTCCAGGGATGTGGAATGCATTCTGTTAGTGAATTGAACTCCACTCCCTGGCATTCCTTTAAAAGTCCTTTAGTAGAGACAGAAGGGGCTGGTGGGATTTGACCCAGGCCTTCCTGAGGCTATCCTGTCTCTCTCCTCTATATTTCTATCTAAATCTCTTACCCTCACTCCTAAGAGCCCATGGGGTAAATAAATGTGGGAGCTGGCCCCCCACAATCCCTGCCAGAGGCCTGGCGTATACAATATAAGGGCTTCAGTGAACATGCTGAAGCCTCAATTGTCCAAAAACCATCGGCAACTGTGTGAGCAGGACCCAATAACCAGCCAGCTCCAGGCTCAGGGTTGGCCCAGGATGCTTCACTTACCTTTTCATTTTTCTTGTCGTCTGGCTTGTACCCTGTGTTGATGGGGCTGGGTATGGACAGACCACTGATGGGCGGCCCTCCAGACTCCCCGCTGAGGTTGGCAGCACTGACGTTGGGAGGCGTGATGGCCGACGCTGCCGACGTGAAGGGAACGGCTGGCCGGGGACATATCTGCGTCGGGGGCTGCTGGCTGTGCTGTGGGGACACCACAGAGCGGGACCGGAGGCTGGTGGTGGGCAGGCGGGATGGAGAAGTCTGAGTGCGCAGGGGCGACACCGTGGCCGTCGGTCGGTCCAGGGCCTGGGCTGAGGGATGGGTAGCTGGAGAGATGGTGGATTGAAAGGTTAGTGTGCACTTACTTGGCCATGGGACTGCAGTGCGGTCTCCTCTCAGGCTTGACCTTTGACCTCTGAGGGTTCTGAATACTCCAGACTTGGCTACCACTGCCGGAGGAGAAACTGAGGCCAAACAACCCTGAAATTGCGCTCTTTACTCTGGCTCAGCATAGTCCTTATCCCAGGTGCCCCAGGGCACACCAGGCCATATTAATCCAGCGTTTTCTTACATTTTTACCACACTTACTGGAACTATTTCTTACCACTGAAATTGGTCCCATTCCTTCAGACATAGGAGAAAAACACACAACACAAACAATATCCTCAGGCTCCAAATATGCCACAACTGTAAAATACACTTGGAAATCTTAGCGGTGTGTCTGCAGGTGGGAGGCCTCTCCATACCGCACTCCAGGCCTTCGGCTGTAAGCCGGCCCTTCCTCTGACGTCTTCCAGGTTCACTCAGGCCATGGTGTCTTAAGGCTACAGGTGATCCTGTTATATACAAGGCCATATAGAAAATGGCCTGAGGTATGGGTTTCTTTAAAGTAATTATTTGTGGTTTCAGAGGGGTTGGGAACCCAGCATTTGGACACTGTGGACAATATGCCTCGAGTCGTGAGGGAAAGGCCCAGTGATTATGCAGATCAATGAAGCCATTGGGATCGTTCATTACCCTGTAACTCTTGACTAGGACTGTGGGCTCCTCTGCCTTGCCTACTGCCTGAACCTTCCTTTACCCCAACCTACCAGTTCTTGAGGGGAAGTGACAGCAGCCAGCCAAAAGCCATTGCCCTGGAGACTCAGAAACTGTTGTCTCTAGCGCTGCTCAGGGCTTCCCATGCAGCCTTCTGCTCTGCCTTCTAGAAAGATCCATCCAATCAATGAAGATGCACGGTGTGACCACCACCTGAAATCTTGAATTGCCTCCTCCTATAGGTACTTAGCACCGCTGAACAGTCTATATCGTTCATTCATTTATCACATATCAATTGTTCCTTGTCTCTCTCCCACTACGCCGTCAGCTGAGCTCTGGGAGTCTGGGGACAATGGCTGTTCAATTCACTAATAGAATGCATTCCACATCCCTGGAATGGTGCCAGGCATGTGGAAGATACTTAATATAGTTTATAATGAATGAGTGATTACTTGAGAAGGGAGAACTCCCAGCTGAAGCATCACTAATCATTTCACAGAAATTAATCATGAGAGAAGAAAAAAAAAATGTCCAACGACGCAAGCACAGCCCATTGCACAGGCTGCCTAGGTTCTGACTCGCCAGCGATCCTATTAGCAATGTCAAAGCAGCTACCCACTCTTTGAAGAGTAAGCAGCAGTAAAGGCTGGTAGAGAGCACACGTTCTCTAGGCTGGCTTAGTCTTTGGTTTGCACTTTGATGGTGCCATGGGCTTCTGACACTGGTTTCCCCCTCCCCCTCCCCAGCTCCCTAATCTGTCCCCAGTACCTGGCATCACCCTGGAACTCGTCCAGTTCTGGAATAATCTCTGTGACTATGCTTTTGATGCTTCTGTCTCCAGTTGCTCTATTTTCTGCCTAGAAAGCCCCATCATGAGCAGTGTGAGCACCCCAATCCACCCTCCAGCTGAGGCTGCTCTTTCAACCCGTTCATCTCTGCCCTGTTTTCCTGGCACATCCCTTTGTACGGCTGCAATGTGAAATATACACACTCGGCCGCAGTCTGGGCTGCCTACACTGTTTGATTTCCCCAAATTTGAAACGGGATGTCTTTTCCATCCTGCTATTTCTGATTCATAGACATTTCATTTCTGACAGCTCCTGCTTTTTCTTTCTCTCTTTTGTGGATTTTTTTCCTTGCTTTGGAAGATGGTGCCCTGTCCCCTGTATGTCTATCTCTGTCTGATTTCTTCATTTCTTGGGTACCTTTTACGTGCACTTTCCCTCCCGTGCTTTGAAATCTCAGTGAGCCAATCCACACCCATCTGTTGCTCCGGACCTGGCCCTCCCTGGGTCTTCCAGTTAGTTCTGTGGCCCTTCTTTGTGTAGCGGTTTCCTCCAAATTGAAACATTTCTCTCCCTGGGGGGATACAGGGAAGCTTGTTTTTGTATTATTTTATTCACTCAAGAAGTAAACAAGACCTTCAAGTCTCAGAAAACTGACCCTTAAAAGGCTCATAAGGCGCAGTCAGTAGGTTAGAAGAGACTTGGATGGATTGATTGACTGATATGTCTACAACTTGGGCATGGAGCTGCAAGGCTCCAGAGCTCCCGAGTCCTCCACCCACACTCAGGTGGGCTTTTTGTGATGTAACTGCTATGGAGTCATAATGTGTCCCTGTAAGTAACCCCTCGCCCATGCTTTGTTAAGTACATCCAGTGAGTTAATTTGTTTGCCAGGCTTAACTTGGGACTGCCGGTCTGCCATTGTGTTTGGAATTTAGGGTTGGAGAGAAGAGGCAGGGAGTTCAAGAGAAGGCACTGGATCCAACTGTCCTTCAGTCAGGAGGTAACTAATACTGCAGGAGGTGGGGCAATGTGGTGGCACATGCCTTTAGTCCCAGCACGTGGGAGGCAGAGGCGGACTGAGCTCTGTGAGCCAGAGACCAGCCTGGTCTACATAGGGAGTTCCAGGCCTGCCAGGGCTACATAGTGAAACCCTCTCTCAACACAACAAAACATCCCCCAGCAAACCAACAAACCAACAAACCCTGCAGGAAGAAGGCAGAGTAGTCTGGGCAGGTCTGAAATAGTTTACGATCCTTCAAGGGAAAGCATAGCCTGTTCTTTTACCGCGTAGGGAGGGACAAAGTGTGGTGGCCAGAGAGAATGGGCTGGTCCCAGGTCAGCTGACATCATCTAAGAGACTAACGAAGAAATAATCAAATCTGTGCATGTTCAATCCAGATGCTTTTTTTCCTTAAATATTTTTGATCCACTACTAGTTGGATCCACAGCTCTGGAGGGTAGACCATATATAGGAATACATTTTTTTTTTTTGTATACTGATTTTGTATCTTGCAATGCAGAATTCATTTTTAAGTTGTAGGGGTGTGTATGTGTGTATGCCTTGGGGTTTTCCATATCTAAAATCCTTATGTCCACAACTAGGAAGTTTCACTCCCCACCCCCAACACACCTGTATACCTTCCCACTCCCCATAGGGAAAGTCTCCCATCTTTCACCACCAAGTGTGAGGGCATCTGTGTGTTCTCACAGGGGGCTTTCATCACACAGAGGTTCGCTGCCATCGCTCATTTTCTAAAGTTCCTTAAATATGGAGTAAATACTGGGTTCTGGGAAATACTTTGTTTTTGAGATAATCACATTATTTTGGTCATGAACAAGATGAAGGACGTAAGTTGTTTAATGTTAATCCAGCCTTGGACTCCTTGGATAACCCCACATGGGGAGTTACTACCCTTCTCAATGGCTGCCCAATTAGATATGGTCTGTGATTTTATTGTCTTATGAATTTTTTTAATTAAAGTAATGCTGGCTTTATGGAAAAGGACAGGAAGTATTCCCCTTCCTTTTTTTTTTTTTTTCCAATTTTCTAGGCAAGTCCAGAAAGTTGTTTTATTACTGTCTCATTGTTTTAAATTTAAATGTTATAATTTCCCCTTTGATTGTTTTATATAATTTACTGGTGAAGTCACGTATCCTAGAACTTTGTTTGTGGGTGTTTTAAAACTAGAAGCTCAGTTTCTTTTATAGATATAGGCCTATTCAAGTTATTTCTTGTTAATATGTCTGACTATTTTGTGTCTTTAAAGGATTATTTGAATATGTCCATTTCATCTATCGAGAGAACTTACACAAAGATTTTACAGTAATTCCTTATTATCTGGTAGACTCTAAAATGATATCACTTGTGTTATTTCTGGTGATGTTCACTTTCACATTTGTCCCTTTTTACTTAGTGAGGTGGCTAGAGGTTTATTAATTTGATGACTGACCTTCTCAAAGGACCCCCTTTTAGCTCAGTCAGTTTTACTATCGCTGCTCTGTCTCCCTCCCTCTTGGTCCATCACTCCATTTAGCCTAGAGGCTATTAATTTGATAAGCTTCTTTGTTTCCTACCATGGATATTCCATGCTGTAAATTCCCTCTCCAAGATTGCCTTGGCCGCATCCCACACATTTTGATATATTGTGTTCCTTTTTATTTATCTCAAAATGTTTCCTACCTTTTATTTCTTCCTTGATCCACTGATTATTTTGAAGTTTATTATTATGTTTTTAAACAATTATTTGTGATACTGATTTCCATTTCAACTCCACCGTGGTTGGGGATGTAATCTGTGTGACCTAAGTCCCTTTACACGTACTGGGATTTTACATATCATGGCCCAGGACTATGGGTGAACACGGGAATGTTATGTGTGCACTTGAAAATAATGTGTATTTTGATGTTGATGGGTAGGGTATTCCCTAACTGCTAATTAAATTAAGTGGTTATGGCTGTACTAATGCTCTATACTATTACCGATAGTTGATACAATTTTGAGAGAGACTTACCTTTGTGGATTTCTCCGTGCCTGTCAGCAGCTTCATCCATTGTTGCTCAGGCATTTTTGAAGCTTTATAATTTGGCTCATTAATACTTAGAATTGTTATGCTGTCTTAATGAGCTCAGTCTTTGCCCCCTTATGTAGCTGTCATTACCCCAGTGACTCGTGGCTATCCATTCTCCTGCCTGACATTAGTAGATCAATTTTCTTTTGATTAATATTAGCGTGGCACACTCCATCCTCATTACTGACAGAATCTATATTTGCATACCATCCCACTAGCTATAATCGACGTATAACTTCCAAATCGATGCCTTTGGTCTTCTCCCAGCCATTTTGAAATGTGAAGCCTAGCAAAAATATTTAGGCTGCCTGTCATGCATCTTTCTTGGAGTTTGAATGAGGTGACGCTGCGCTTTTTTCTTAGCTCTCAAACGGAGGTGACAGGAGGAGGGAGCCATGATGGACAGAGGGATTGGAATCTCACCTCTGGCAA